ACAGGTGCTGCAGTCCTTTGACACGAGGGTCGAGGCGACCCGCCGCCGGGCCGTCTTCCAAAACGGGGACCGCGCCCGCTCCTACAACCGGCAGCTCCGCTCGCGGCTGACCCGCGAGTACTGCGCTTTCCTCTCGGCCGCGAACGACGCGTCCTCGCCAAAGCGCGAGCGGTTCGTCGCCGCGCAGCGCGAGTACGAGGCGCTGGTCGGCGCGTTCGTCGCGCAGTGCGAGGGGGGGCCGCTTGCTTGGAGCGCGTTTGGCATGCTGCAGGAGTCGCTGCGGCTGGAGCAGGCGGCGGCGCTGCAGCAGCTCTTCCGCGACGAGATCCGCGCCGGAGAGGGCGGCGCGCTTCCGGACCTCTCTCCGCGCGCGACGAGTGCGGCGGCGCTGGTCGCGCTGCTCGAGGAGGGCGCGCGGCGGGGAGGCGCGCGGCTGCCAGCCGCGGCGGTGCCGACGTGGCTCGTGGCGCTGAGCAGGGAGGAGCAGGGTCTTGCGGGGGGTGCCGCGTGAGGAAGGAGACACACAACAAAGTCTCACATACACATCTGTGATCTGAGAGATTTGCTGACGTTTTCGGTGTCGGCTGTGCTAGTCGGTATTCGCGTTTGTACTCGTCGCACGGCTCTCGTAAAGTGTAGAGAGAAACTTGCGCCCAATTTTCAATGATCAATCCCCTCGCCTCTTCTCCCCGGACCCCGAGCTAGTCTTCCCCCAGCCTTCAAAACTCACAGATGCCACACACAGCACAGGACTTCCCGGCCCTTCCGATCGGGCATCCACGCACTGCCCGCGCCGCCACGAGTGTGGCACGCGTGTCGCATACATGTCACATACCTCGGCAGTCCCAGCCGTCGCAGTGAGGGATGCGTGCGGGATGCGTGACGCGCAGGCATGCGGGCGGCGGGGCCGCGGCACCAGGCACCAGCGCCTCCTAGCAGCCTTGCGCGTGCCTCCCGAACGGCGGAGGAATGAACCACCAGCAGTGCTCCCGGGGTATGCCGTGGGGCCGCAGCGACGGAGGCAGAGAGAGGTTGAAGCCCTCCATGAGCAGGCTCTGCAGGCTCGAGTCGATGGCCTCCAGAGCGCGCGGCAGCCCCGCTGCGCGCCACCCCGCCGCCAGCCTCGCCGCCGCAACGGCGCCGTCAGACGGGCAAGCGACGATCCGCACGCGCACGCTGCCCCTCCTGTCGCCCGGCGGGCGCGCAACCAGGCTGAGCGCCACCGCTCGGGGCGAGGAGCCGCATGGGGAGAGCGGCCCGCTCGCGCCGCCCTCGACGGCAGAGGCGAGGAGCTCGAGCGCGGAGCGGCCGCGGAGGATGGCGGCGATGCGCTGCGCCCAGAGGTGCGGCCAGACGTCGACGCACGAGCGGTCGTAGAAGGAGTCCAGCTCCGCTGCCAGGCCTCGCGCCCACTCGCAAAGAGGCATCAGCCGGGCGGGGCCCACCGTCGAGGCTCCGCCCGCGCCGCCGGCGAGGAGCGCGGCGAGGCGAGCCCGCCACCGCCTGGCCTCCTCACGGCCCTCGGCCTGCAAGCACGCGGCGCTCGAGAAGAAGAAGTGACGGCCCTCGGCCGGAGACACGCGCGCGCTCGCCTCCCAGAGGCGCAGGAGCTGGTTGGAAAGGGTTTCTTGCCAGCCCTCGGCGCCCGCGGCGACTGTGGCGAGCGAGGCGTCGAGCAGAGGGCAGAGCGAGCGCCAGCCGCTGAGCTTCGCGCGCTCGCGAAAGAGCAGCCGCCAGCCG